GTTTTTTCTGCGTTCAGAAGCAGAAAGTCTGTAATCTATGGATTATAATCCAGCTTCATCTGGATTATAGACAGATATAGAGGGCAGCACTGAGGAAACATTAAACTAGTCATCCATAGATCCACTTTCTAGTGCTTTTATGTTTTCTGTTGTGGGGTGAGTCACACTTTAAAGCAGCAGAGTTCAGTTTCCTGTGATGCTGATGGTTCCTGCTCTGACCTTTATCCGCCGCCCTCCTTGTCTCCAGGTACTCTCCTCTCCACAACCTGCCTGAGCCGCCGTACGCCGGCCCCCCGTACCCGGCGGTGCTGCTGCTGACGGCTGACCACGATGACCGCGTGGTGCCCCTCCACACGCTGAAGTTCTGCGCTGCCCTGCAGCACGGTGTGGGCAGCAGCCCTCAGCAGCAGCAGCCACTCATGGTCCGTGTGGACACGCGCAGCGGACACGGAGCGGGAAAGCCCACGGCGAAGGCCATCCTGGAGGACACGCACATCTTCTCCTTCATCGCCGAGACGCTGGGACTCGGCTGGAAGGACTGAACGGGATGATCCTGTTTGGAGTTCTGTTGGAAGCTTTCAATAAAACTTGGTTCTGATCCGCAGCCTCCTGTCGTCTTTCAGAGAAATCCACTGGAACCACAGATCAGACCTGCTGGCTCCTCCTCCTGTAGATCCTTCTGCAGATCTGGAACCCTGCGCTGACCTTTGGGCGACCCGGGATGCTGTGGATCCAGCGGGTCGACCCGGTTCAGGTCCTCTGGTTCCTTTGATGCAGCGCTCCGCTAACATCTGCAGAACCCAAACAGAACCTGAAGGTTCCTTTGGTTGTTTCTGGAGGACAATGGACGTCGGGTCCCTTTCAGAATCTTCTCCCTCTTCTTCTTCTGGCCCATTTCCTTTGCTTTCATCGGTGATGGTCCAATCAGAAGGGTTAGTTCCACGTTCTCTTCAAGGGGAAGCAGCTGATTGGATCATCTGGACCTGCGGTCAGAATGGAGGAGCTCAGGTCTAAATGATCCGATCCGATGAGCAGACCTCCTTCATGCTGCTCCTGGATGGAGGAGGAAGCTGCTCTGATTCCCCTGCAGAGTTCTGAGCTGGTTCCATGGAGGAGAACCGGATCAGAACCTCTTCCAGTGTTCAGCTTCTCTGCTGCTTTTAGTCTGAAATCACAGCAGCTGCTGCTGAAGCTGAAGGTTCTGGTTCCAGAAGAACCAAATCCTTCCAGAACCCGGCAGCCATTAGTCTGAAGGAGCTCTAAGCAGAACCGCAGGATGATGAGCTGCTGGGTTTATAGAACATCTGGTATCCTGCAGAACCTCTGCTGCAGAACCTCTGCTTCATAACCTCTGCTCCAGAACCTCTGCTGCAGAACCTCTGCTGCAGAACCTCTGCTTCAGAACCTTTGCTCCAGAACCTTTGCTTCAGAACCTCTGCTGCAGAACCTTTGCTCCAGAAACTCTGCTTCAGAACCTCTGCTGCAGAACCTCTGCTGCAGAACCTTTGCTCCAGAACCTCTGCTTCAGAACCTCTGCTGCAGAACCTCTGCTCCAGAACCTCTGCCACAGAACCTCTGCTCCAGAACCTCTGCTGCAGAACCTTTGCTCCAGAACCTTTGCTCCAGAACCTCTGCTGCAGAACTTCTGCTGCAGAACCTTTGCTCCAGAACCTCTGCTCCAGAACCTCTGCTGCAGAACCTCTGCTCCAGAACCTTTGCTCCAGAACCTCTGCTGCAGAACCTCTGCTGCAGAACCTTTGCTCCAGAACCTCTACTTCAGAACCTCTGCTGCAGAACCTCTGCTCCAGAACCTCTGCTGCAGAACCTCTGCTCCAGAACCTCTGCTGCAGAACCTTTGCTGTAGAACCTTTGCTCCAGAACCTCTGCTCCAGAACCTCTGCTGCAGAACCTTTGCTGTAGAACCTTTGCTCCAGAACCTCTGCTCCAGAACCTCTGCTGCAGAACCTCTGCTGCAGTACCTCTGCTCCAGAACCTCTACTTCAGAACCTCTGCTCCAGAACCTCTGCTCCAGAACCTCTGCTTCAGAACCTCTGCTCCAGAACCAAGGCGTTAAAGGTGGACCGGGTTGTTCTGACAGAACCTGACGGCCACTAATGTTCGGGGAGCTTAGCTCCATGCTGCAGTTCAGTGAGTTGGCCACTAGATGGCAGCGTGACTCTGCTACATGGTCTGGATCTGTTGGCTGTGAAGGTTCTGAAGGAGGCAGGAGACCTGAAGGTGGATGCGGCCCTCAGGAGGTTCTGATCAGACTGAAGGAGGTGAGGCGCTGGGAAAAGGAGGAGGATCTGCTGCATTAATGAGATGGACCCGCCATCAGCCTCAGTGAGGCTCCCAGGGGCCTCCCAGGGGCCCCAAGCCTTCATCTTCTTCCCTTCCTTCATTCAGCAGCTGTTTTCAGCTCTTTGTTCCTCTGGAGGAACAAGCTTTTACGTCCTGAGCCTCCCTGTCCTCCTCCAGTTGTTTACCTTCTCCTCCTTATGAAGCTCAGATTAATCCTCCAAAGCCGATTTGAACCTTTGTTCATTTTCTCCTTCACAGTAGCTTAGTGGAGGATCTGCTCCTCTTTCTGCAGCTTTCTTCTGTCCGGGGGGGGGGGGGGGGCGTTCTCCCGGGAGCATCTTCCTCCTCCTCCTCCTCCTCTTTAGCTGCAGGTCTCTACAGGTTCTTGTCCAAAAAACAGGAACAAACATGGAAGCTGAGACCAAACTGAGGAGTTTAGCTTTAGATTCCATTAAATTAATTAAATCAATCAGCAATTAATTAATTAAAAAATTACAATTTAACAGAGAATAGATTTATATTTTCTCCTCCAGCTCGGCTCTTAGTCTACATTTAGTTTGACCTTTTATCATCATACATGATTAAAAAGTCAAAACAGGCATAAAAACCTGGATGACTCTTAACTTTCTGCTTCTGAATGCAGACAAAACAGAAGTTATAGTCTTTGGACCAGAGTCTCTGAAAAAGAAG